TACGGTCATCCTTGCCTTCGGTGTTCGGACTTCCCAGATCTATAACCCTCCTCGTTACGGTCATCCTTGCGTTCGGTGTGCGGGACTTCCCAGATCTATATCCCTCCTCGTTACGGTCATCCTTGCGTTCGGTGTTCGGGACTTCCCAGATCTATATCCCTCCTCTTTTGAGTACTGTGCATCCGAGTTGGTTTGGTCAGTGCAAGAGGTTGTCTCGGAGACTGCAGTATGTCTCAGATCTGGTTTCCTGCTCACTATGTAGGAAGGGTGATGCTAGGAGGGGCTAGGGTCCTTAGTGGAATTCGAATTCCTTACTGCGATCTACTAGGGACTTAGGAGGGGCGAGGGTCCTTAGGGCCAATAGAAGGGGTGAAGAGGCGGGTCTGGCAGGGTCAAGGTCTTTAAATGTCAGACCGTATAAATGTAAGAAACAGGGTCTGCTAGCAGTATCATGTCATAACAGGCGGCCCAGTTGAAGGCTGAAGACACAGAGCATCTTCTGTTTATTTACAGATAGTTGAAGGCTGAAGACACAGAGCATCTTCTGTTTATTGACAGATAGTCCGTACGTCCCAATCATTCAGTAGATTCCAGGTTCCAATTTCGCTGTAGGGGACGCTGGAGCCGATTTCCAGCAGGTGATGCTCCCCACCAATAGATTGGAGCCGAGCCCCAGAGTGGTAGAGCTGGCTTTTTGCTGCGATGGAAGCCACATCAAGATTTGCCAGAAAAGCCTGCTGGTTAGGTTTAATCGACAGGTCATTCTCTTTTTTTTTTTTTTATAAAATTTTTTAATGTTAAATGTGAAACCCTTGTGCAAGGCCTCTATCCTGGTGGTGGTAAGAGAACCACCGGAATTGAGGCTTTGCCTGTCGGGCTGCTCTATCTGTTGGTGGGGAGTGGCACCTGCTGGAAACAGGGTCCAGCGTCCCATCTGTTGAGGGTTCAGCCTCCTGACGAGTCGGTGAAACTCCGAGGAAACAGTTTGTCACAGCCCCTCCCTCGTTTGTTGTCCTCTTCTCTCTCTCTGCCTACGGTTTACAGGGCAGTTCTGTTTGTGACGATATATGCTACGACTTTGCTAGCTCCTGCTACGGTTTTTTC